CACTGCAAGTATAAAAAGAAAGTATAAAAAGAGTGTATCCTGGGCAGCAGCTGGGCAAGCTTCTCCACTGTCAGACCTGCCAAGAACCATCAAGGGACTCCCCTATGAATGACCCATTCATTCTCTATGACCCATTCAATCAATAAAGGTGTCCACTGTGATGTGAGTATAAGACCTGGATACTGTACTTTTGGAAGCTCCACTGCTTAAGGATGTTAAAATACCTCTTTTATAATGGAGTCAGATGGAAAGTTCAACTAAATCAGGGATCCTACTAAAATGCTGCAGCTGTGTAGGAGAAGTGTACCCCAGAGAAGGAGGTATCCACTCCCCCACTCTTCTTTTCCCTGTTTTCTATATGGGTGAACTTTTACAGGGAGCAAATTTTTTTCCTCTGCCTCTCACCCTAGGTCCCCTTAGCACCCTTTCCCTCTGATGACAAAAAGATGAAAAGGTTTCCTAGCTTTCAATGTAGACTTTCTCATACCCAAACACCTTGAAATGTGGTAACTCTTCAGACCCAAAGACCAAGACACAACCCCATTAGGATCTTGGGGCATCTCCAAAAATGCATGCACCCCAGACATTACTACAAGTGTATTACTCTCAGTAGGACATATGGCTGGGATGCTGATGGGAGAGGGACCTCCAGTCTGGAAGGAGAGGACACAGTGTACTGTAGGGTGAAATATTCCTTTCAGGTCTAGGTTTCTGATGGACAGGCCAGTTCTGCACAGATGAGCTGAGCTCCCAGCCTCTGATGTATATGGTGCTGCTATTTTTCACAGCTGGGCAAAGATGCAGCACGGTGCAGGGAAGACTAATTCTTCTTTGATTCATCAAAAATAATCACAGTAGCAAAGAGGCTCCTTATAGGGCCCAGCCCTACAGTCGGCTGGGAACTGAGCACAGTTATTGTAGCCTGAGGCCCACTTTCAGTCCAATTACACACAACAGCTGTGCTATTTCCTCTCTTCTGCTCTCTCCCCACACTCTTCTAAATGTTCCCAGGGTGGAAATTAGGCTTTGTCACTGTCTGGGGCTAGTGGTTTCAGAGGCAGAACCAGGCTCAGTGGCACCTTGTCAGGGGGCCATGGTCAAGGACAAAAAGAATAGGAAATAAATGCTGCAGATCACAAATTCTTGTTGCAGGAATGCTACATAGGCAAGTGGATGTAAGACCATATGAACATATGTAGATGAGTATACAAGAGGCTGCAGACACAGTAAGAGGCAATGTGCAAGTGTGTGGCTGAGGATTGTGTTTTGGGCACTTGCAAATGAGGAGATGTGTGTATCAAGGCATCTGACAAAGAGTGAATGTACACATGTGCAACAGAGATAATGTGGTGTGAGTGGGCAGGTGTGAAGCTAAGAAGCAGGTACAACTTGGTATCAGGGCATCTAAGTATTTGCACACAAGCCTGTCTAAGAGAGTATACATTCAAATATGGAAATGACTGACAGCTGTGCACAAAAGTATGTGCATTTAAAATGAAAATGAGTGTACAAGCGGCTTTAGGGGTACAGGTATTTATATTTTTTTCAAAGCTGTAGCCTTGTCCTATCCCTTCTGGGAACCGGGGACTTCAAATGGCTTGAAATGTCATTGAAATGCTAGTGGTGCTAGCAGTATGGAGCTCCCCTCCAGGGAAATTGGGTGCAGTATCCTGGCACCAGTTAAAGGACTCCTGAATCCTTCCAGAGGTGGTTATTCCCTGCATGCAGGCAAGGCTGGATTCTTTCATAGGACCCAGAATACCTAGGGCATTTCCACAAGGTCACACTTATTCATTTAAATGCAAACTCTAATCAACTGCAAAGCTGTGAGAAATGGCTGTAAGGCTGTCACTATAAACTGTAAACAGGCCCAGAGCATCTTCCTTAGGGAGGTCCAAGTAGGTCTCTCACCCAAAGAGGAGGTAATGGGTGCAGATCTAACCTGCACTATAACATCAATCCCCTTAATCAAACATGACACCCATCTATCCTTCAGATATTCTCATAGGAGGAAGCACCTTGCCAGATCTTCTTTTCTATTAGCCTGTTCTTGACAATTTATTCTGTTCTTTCAAGGCTCACAGACTACTGGCAAAAAGCAGGAAGTACAGGGGCTGCAATGACTATAATGCAGAGGAGACTAACAGAAAGACAGGGTCCCTATTCTTGCAAGACAGCCAGCTATGCACTGTCAAGTCACCATTAGTGTTCACGCCATCAAAACCTAATAACACCATCCATGACAATCGTACCGTTCATCCAAGGATCTCTAAGTGCATTGTGAAGGTGAGCCAGCGTCTGACCCTTTTTTTTGGTGAACTGAATGAAATACCTACTTATGAACCAAGCTAAGACCTGACAAACTCATTTCACTTGTGCAGTGTGTCAAGCTAGCCATTGTTCCAAAAGGACTCCCTCTTCACAGCGAGGAGACCTTATAAAAACACACATTTCATGTTTAAAGCAATGTCACTGTTTTCTTTAAGTAAGATTTCCCTGCACCTGGTAGGGCCTCTGCTAAAGAGAAATCCAGGAAGTATGTACTTCATTGCAGCCAGCAAAAAGCCATTCAGAAAGATCTTGTTTTACTGGGGAATTAGTTCTAGCCAGTCTATTCAACAAGTCAAATTAATCAATTAATCAATGGGCCCTTTACAGTCCTTCTTTACCTGTGGGTAAATAGTTACATTAGCTCATAAAATCCCCAATTTCTCTTGCAAACAGTGAATGGTTAAAATGGCTGCTTGGCAGGGGCCCTGGGCTCCAATCTCTGAATCCTGATTGGCTGGATCATCCAGTAGTAAGAAAGCTCCAGGCATGGCCAGACACACAGAAACCGAAGATCTGCATCTTCCCTTATTGTGTGCAAGGAAACCTGTTCTGTTTGAAGAGTGCCCAGTTCTGAGCAGCAATGTTAGTGCAGTGTGGGGCTTCATTTTTTCAAGATAGTCATGTATATCAATCCTTGACTCTTATTGGGTCATGATGACATGAACAATAACAACATCCACAAAGATTACAATATTCATTCAAGAAGCTCTAAGCACATTATCCCATTTGGGAGTAGATATGTACCAGAGTTCAAAATATAGGGGCCAGGCACATATCTGAATGAGAATACAAATGTGCAAGCCTTCTAGAAAGAGTGATGAGAAGAATGTATGCAAGAGTGTGTAAAAGCAATTCTGGGATTAAGATCATGAGAGCAGGGGGAAGGAGAGTATGCATGCCTCCTTGCATGAGCCCATTGTGAGACCATCCACAAATGAGAGGGGGCTACGTGACAGGGGAGCCCAATGAAAGAGTACATGGAGACCTACAGAGTAAACAGCACTTTGCCCTGTGGATGTGAATACTTCCTCCGTTCTCCAGGCCACACACAGCAGTAACAGTGTGGCTCTGATCCTGTTGCCATGTTACCATTGTCTGGACCTACCCTATCTGGCTGTACTCTAGTCTACTCAAGCCAGAGCAGAAACTGTTGCTTTGCAAGGCAGCAGTCATTCACAGTGCAGAATGTTATCACCAGTATGTGAAAAGGCCAAGCTGTAGTGAGCCGATGTCACTAAGTTTCAATCTTCCTTCACAGCCATGGGCACAGATGGCTTCAGTACGCAGTGGAGAGGGCTATAACTCCTTCCATGCAAGTCCCAACACACCTGACTTCCTAGGGCAGATAAAGCCTTAGCTCCTGTTTTTCCTGGTTGCTGAGGAAACTGGCTGTTAACATCGGTGGATGCATTCTGTGGCATGCCAAAGGGCTATATTTGCCATGAGGCTCATTTCAAGCTTCTAATATGCACTTGCTGTGTGTGAAGACACCTTTTTTGTACAGACATGTGCAAAATACCGGGTGCTTTTTGTCAGTAAATAGGGTACCCTTGAGAGTAGTTTGTAGGGTACTAATGAATGGTTTACAAAGGCTAAAAGACAGCGAATTTATCCAACTCACTAATTGGCTTGAAAAAGTGACTGCAAACTCTAATTATTCAATGGCTGAAAAAGAACAAAAGAGTATGTGGAAGAATATTCAGGTCCAGTCCTGGCACCATGAGTTAAAGGGAGCTTAGATGGAAAGAACAGACTCCCTTAGCAGCCACCCAAGGTACTGGCTCCCTCCATTCAAGTCAATGGCCAGACTAGGACTGGACTCTCACTTTGAGTCTGCTGACACAAACATAAGCCAGTAAACCAATGGAGCATTTGGGTGTGAGGTCAAAATCAGGGCTCTTGCCTGTAGTAGCAGCAGAATGGGACTACGGAGCAAGGCACTTCAGGCTTTGGATCAACATCCTTTGGCAGCAATAGACAAGTGAGCTGGGAAATAAATGAGAATTGGAGTTCTCTGTAGCTGAACATTTCCATGGGGCAACCCCACCAAAAAATAAATCCCAGCACCTAAACACTGCATCTTCTCTCTCAACTGATTCATTCATACATTATAGACGAAGTGAAGTTTCTACTTATTTTTTTAAAGGAGCTTACAACCCACGGTCTGACAAGAACTGTTCCCACCGTGTTTTCATTTAGAAAAAAAGAAAAACAACCTATGTGCATGTTAATGGAAATCTTCACATAACAGCTTTTGGCTCTGGGACTAACACATGGAGCAAACTCCCACTAACAATTGAAACTAACTGGTCTAATTTCAGAATCCCAAAGCGCATGAAGGTAAAAATCAATCAATCAATCAACAAACTGTACAAAATGGCAATAATACAATAAGCAGTCTCTGATTGGCCAACAATATATTTTTAAAGAAATGTGACTTTTTTTTATCTTAACAGTGTCCCTTTAACTGATCAACACAGTTTTGTCCTCCAAAGTGGATCTTGCAATGGAATAGCTATGGAGGGTGCCTTGATTTAAAGGCCTTGCAATCCAGCCCTCCAGTTCCCATTATGAATATTCCCTCTTCACAGTCACAGCTTCCTACCCACTCTCACTGCACCCCCACCCCCCAAACAGTGATCTTTTAGCTCAGCAAATATGACACTCACCTGGAATATGATTGACATCTGTTCAGGTGTTTTCATGGGAAGCAGAAGGGGGGGGAAGGGGAAAAAAAGAGGGAGAAAAAGAGAAGAGAAAAGAGAGAAAAGCATTAGAAACACCACACAGCAACTCAGCATCCTTGCATGGAAATCAATTTCATGCAAAACCAGAAGTAGCTAGGTTTGTTTGAAGGCCATCCATCCACAGCCAAGTGCCCACCCATGCAAGGGAAAAGGGTTTGGCTCCCCCTCCACTGTGCATGTAAAAATGAAATCCACTGTCATATCTGTCCGGAGAGAGAGCTTCTGGAATCAGATAGAATGAAGCCACACTTGTTCCTGCAAGAATATTAGTTAGAATATTCTGTGTCTCTTCAAGCACAAATGCAAACGAACAAACCAACCAACCCCATGAGTCTGCAGCAGGCTTTGTACTTCACATAAATTCAAGCAAATTTTCAGAAAATGGAAAGGAACCCGCTCCTCTTGAAGAGAAGTCACTTGAATTTAGGACCAGTTGCAGAGCTCTGAACAGTCCCAAAGGCCTAGGAGAAAGCCTGCCCCTTTTCACTCCACCTGCCCATTGTTCCAAGGGACGATCCTTCATTGCAGACAGCACAGTGTGTGAGCAAATTGGCTCTTCCCAAGATGCTGGATTCAGACCAAATGCCATTCAATATTTGTCCGTCCTTATGGCACAAGACCACTCTGCCCATCAATCACATTAATCCCACAAATTAGTCCAATAAAAAGGAGAGGAACAGGGAACTGTAAATGGTTGTATCAATCACAGCACAGGTACACCATAGAAGCCACAATGTCCACTTTGGTACAGAGCCCATGAAGTCCAGTGAACGCAACAATAAAGAGATCCCAATTTCTTTCCCCTTTTTTTTACTATCTGTAGTTTAGTCCCCTTCTACCCAATTACTGTTGTCATAAAACTATTAAGGTGAACCTCTTAAAACTCCTCAGCTAAGCAGGGTCGAGTTGAGGTCACTATTTGGATGGGAGCAGACTCTTCCAAGGAAATTCAGAGTGCTTCAGAAAATAGTGCTGATGATCAACATGTGGCAGCCTTCCCTGCAAGCCTGTACCTAAAGGTACAAATAGATGTCACCAAATGAAGCAGATCAATTGTTCCAGGATGTGTCCCAGGACAACTGATTCACTTCAGTGGGTGACACATGTTGCCAACTGTCCTGCATCAGGCAGGGGCCTGATCCTGCCAAACAAAGGACAATACATTCCCTGTTTGCAGAGATGTGCCTTGGGGAATCTTCTGGCCACATCTCTGTAAGCAGGGAAGGCCAGGATTCCCCACTTACAGATGTGTGCTGAAGATTCCCCAGGACACATCTCAGCAAGCAGGAAACTTCAGCTTTCCCTGCTTACAGAGATGCACCCTGGAGATTCCCCAGGGCACATCTCTGTAAGAGGTGAAAGCTGGACAGTCACTTCCGGGACCTGAGGAGCCCAATCCTGTGCAGAAATTCCTGAGGTGCACAAGATCAGGCCCCACAAGCCCCAGTAGTGCCTGCCATGGGCAGCTGGAGACCATGGGAAGCTCCAGGCTGCCTGTGCTCTTGCATCATACAGCTAACAAATGTCTGCTGCAATAAAGAGGCAGAAACTATTACCACCTTTTTTCTGGGCCACAAATTTTGGCATTTGTGGTGTGACAAATGGCATGAACACCTGTTTGCTTTCTCTTCGTGCCATCATAAAAGTTGTTATGGTAGCACAAAAAGTGATGTCTATTTATACCCTAAGCCCAGGCCCCTGTGTGGTGATAGAGAAGCTGTGCTGCTAGGATGACCATCTTTCAGATATGATGTTAACCACCTGTGGTGGTTCAAGCTTCCACGGCATTTCTCCCACAGGACTGGGAGTGTGCTATGCTGGGTGCCTTGGCATAATGCAAAATCTGAATAATTGATGCTTCCCCCAGACAAACCCTCCACTTTCTGTCAGCTTCTCTATTCTCCACCCTCCCTCCTAAATTGTTGGGATGTTGCAAAATGTTGTGACTGCCATGTGCCATTCATAAGGTACCTGGATTTTATCAGTAGACAGTACATGATCCCAGGAGACATTGTTCTTCATTTAGCAATTTCAAACCGTCTTTGGGATCCTTTGAGAATCACCATACATGGCACATGAGAGACACATCAAACTGTTCTAGCCTGAAGAGCCAATAATCCAAAGAGGGCAACACAAAGAAGGGAAGGAATGCAGACCCAGATCAAACCATTTACATTGCTTAGGTTACACATCCTAACTGAACCCATCAGTACGCAAGCAGGACCCAGTATTTTGACATGTCCTTTTTAACATAGAAGGGTGAGTTAGTTTAAGCTGTTGACAGAGAAGCAAGAGGAGACAGTTGGTCCTGAAAGGTCACTAGGGAGAAGTAGGAAAAGTCATTTGTACAGAACAGAGCATAGAGTGTGGCAGGGAGAGAGATCAAAGACAAGGGCATACGTGCAGAGAGAACCTTGATCTGAGTGCAGGGAGAGTGTACTGCAGGAGAACAGTGAAAGACACTGGGGTGATCTGAGCTGGGAGACTGTGAGAGGGAATTGGTGGTAATCTAGGAAGATAACTTTAGCTTTAAGGAGCGAAAGAGGTTAGAGCAGTGTAAGGTATCACAGTTACTGCTGATGATTCAAGAGCTGCATCATGAGTTCATTTCAGGCAGGCACACAAATCCAGTTCCAAGTTCTCTTCCTCTCATGAACTTCATCCCAAACCAACTGTTCAAATACATGAACAGCCACAAAGACTGGCTGACATGGCAGCAGACTTTGTTATAGCCAGCATTGCACTGTCCTGAGAATGGCATCTGTGAGCTCAATTTTGGTTGGGATCTCCAAGTTTGATATTACCGGATTCTGTGTATGGGCCTAAGTGGAGTATTGGATTGGAAAGGAGAACAAGAATAAAACATATGAAGTAAAAAGAGAAGGGGCACTGGGCTGATTGCCACTTTTTGGAATAGTGCTTATTTAACTGCATATTAATTAAACAGGTCATGAAGCTGCAAACACAGGGAGCAATGAGGTGGCAATGGCTATACAGAGCATCACCAGAGTGTGGTCTCCAAATACATCAAGCTACAAATGTGATCAGAAGGAGCAGTCAGCAAGGGGACCTTGGTTTATGAATCACAAGTTTCACATTGCTTTACCAGTGCTGCTTGCCTAGGGCTTGTCCTCCTACCTAACTTATTTCCTCCCTGAACCCTCATTCCTGGCCAGCATTTTAGAAAGCCCTTATCATTCCACAGAGAGAAGATGCATTAAAAATTCAAATATTTACTCCACAGCAAGACCTCTGTAGTACTGATTTGGTAGCACCCCACAGTCACTAGAGGAATTTCCTATTCTAACTGCAAAGGGAGAGTG